AAAAAAAAAAAAAACCTCACCGAGTTCATTCAGTCGTAGTACAACCTCGATCTATTCTCGATAAAAGGTTTTGCTATGAAGCCAACAGTTGGCTCCATAGTGGAGTCAATCTTCTACATACAACAAGTAAACGTACCATATTCGCTGATTACTTAAATAACACAAATATAATTTTATTAATATGATAAGTTTACTTATTAGATATAGAAGGTTGGTTTCACAGCAAAATCGTCTCTATAAATCCAACTATTCTTCAAAAGGAACACAAAAAGAGACTCCGGCTCCATAGGGCAATGAATGACGGCCTTCCCCTGCAGATTTGTGTAATTGCTATATTAACTCCAAATTTCCATTTTCTGCAACATTTCTTGCTATCTTTTACAATAATTAATACATACACCCTCTCTACAAAAAAATAAAATAAAATATTTACACCCCCACACCATATTTATTAGGGATGCGTTCATTTCGGTTAAAACTACAAAATACGAAAATAAACTATCAAAAATATAAATTATGATTCGATTTTCGTCTTAGTTTAAAATATCAAAAGTTAGTTGAACCTCCTCTATTATATAGAATAATATAAAATTAAAAAAAAAAAGATAAAAGATTCTATTTATATAAAAATAATTAAAATAAAATTTTCAAACTATTTGACTCTCATAATAATTATTTAATTATAGGCTTTAAATTAATCTCCATCTTCCCCTTCTCTTTTATGTATATATAATAATAATACGGCCATAGGCCTCCAAAGACACCCCCTTCTTCTTACCGGTCCTTTCTACTACTCTCCACCACCGCCACCGCCGTCGCCCACGGCCGCGCCGCCGCTAGTCTAGCTAAATTTGATTCTGAAACATCGCTGCAGCCTCCAACCACCTCGATTTTTCCGGTAATCTTCACGAAAACCCCCCTCGATCGTGAAAATTGAAGCGATCGGATACTTCTCAATTCCGGTGAATACTTTTTTTGTTCTCTTTGTATAATTTAGTTACTTTGATTTTTTTTTTTTTCAGGTTTACTATTAAATAAATCAATTGAAGAATATGAGCCGCAGAAGCGGGCCGAGGCTTGACCTGAAGCTGAACCTGTCGCCGCCGAGGCGTAGCCGCCCCCGGGACGAGCCGCCGAGCCAGTCGCCGACGGATTCTCCGCCGACGTCGTGCTTGTCATCGGAGCCGAGCGAGTCCCTGCGGCACTCGACCAGCCCTGAGGAGGCGACGTCCATGATGCTGGTCGGCTGCCCGCGCTGCCTCATGTACGTCATGCTTTCCGAGGAGGACCAAAGGTGCCCCAAGTGCAAGAGCACCGTCTTGCTCGACGTCATCCACGACGGCGGCGCCGCCGGACGGAGGAAGAAGAAGGGTCAGAACTAGTCATTAGTAGTATTGGGATTTTGCGGGAAAAAAAAAAGGAAATAAAATTGTAATCTTAATGTTTATTTTCGAAAAAAAAAA